TAAGAATTGTGGTAAAATAATACCTTTTGTTAATAAACACTGATGTTTAGATGATAATGTTTCTCATAAAGTTTATTATTGTTTCTCACTATCGAAAGTCTCACAAGCTATTATCTTTGATATCCTGAACTTCAACAGGATGTAACTCACATTTAACATATAAAGCCACTCCTCCTCCTCTCTTAAGTACTATGTCCCTATTAAATAACCTATAACCCTGTATTTCAAAGAAATTTCTGTCATCAAAATCGTCTATATTTAACCATCTTTTAGTTATTCCCATTATATCAAAATCCTCCATTCCTACCAGCGCTCTAAGGTCATCTATTTTATTTCTTATACTTGTAGCATTACAATAGTAACAATTAAGCCTACCCTTATAACTACTTCTATACTCATCTCCTATGCTAAACTTTTCTCTACATCTATTTTTTTCTTTTTCCATATTCTGGTCCTTACCACTGTCTAGTCCCAGTTCAAAAATTCCCTAACAGCTGAGTTAATAGCCCTTGCAAACAAGCCAGTCCCTATCTTAGTTAAATGTAAATCATCTATTCCAAAAAGTTCCCTTCTCTCATTACTGATCCTACAAGTCCAACTAGCCAATCTGCTCATCTTTACATATTAACCTAAGTCTAGCATTTAGCCCTAGTGGCCTACTTATACGTTCATCTTCACAATTAATTCTCGGCGGTATCCCTGACACAGTTGAGTTATGTCCTTTTCTTTAAATCCCTTTATCAACCCCTTGTATATATCAATTAGCTCTTCTGACCTACCTACATCATTAGCCCATACGTGCACAAACAAAACTGCATTATTGCTAGCCTCTTTATTATGTCTCTTACTCTATCAGTTATGTTCTTCACCAATGCCTCTGGGTAGTATAATCTAATTCTTTTCTCCCTATTTACCCCCAGACTATCCTATTCACATGTCTTGTCAAAGAATCACCTATAACTATAATCTCCTTAAGTTTATAATTCACGTCTCTCTTTGTCCCTTTTGTTTTCCTTCCCTTCAATAAGTTCTTCATCTGCACAAGCCAAAGACTGAAACATGCTCATTACAATTAAATCAACTACTTTTAGTCTGAGCCATATTAAAGAGAGGGTAGAAGAAGCAGCTGCACCAGGGCCCCAACTACTTGGGGGCCCAACAAAAAAAAAATTAGAATTTTTATTGCATTGTATGTAATTGTATTTATGGGGGGGGGGAAATGCTACTTTACTGCCCCAGGCCGCATCTGACTTAAATCCACCCCTGGTTTTAGCTCTAATAGTACTGTTTCTAACTTTCTAACAAAGCAATGACAAGTTATCCTAGTTTCAAAACCAAAACCAATCTATATTGTTAAGCACAAGCTCATGCTAGTGATGTGTTAATTTTTTATCTTATGTTATGTGAACAAGAAAGACTCACCTGTCTGAACTAAGCGAAAAAATTAATGGACATAAATACTAGTTACTTGCTGTGCTATCTATCTGTTTCCTACCCCAATCTATGATCGAACTACATTATAATATGATATTTTATATATATCATTGTCGCTTATACTGCTAGACTAGTTCTTAGGATTTAACTTTATTTATTACTTCCAGCTGTACGCTCTTTAAATTAACACTGCATGATCGACAGTTGCTTTTATTATAGAGCTAAAAGCTATCTGGGCTTGTTCTGGTCTATATTCTTTGTAATCTGTTCCAGACAGAAAAGACATAACGTTATATGCATAAGAATAGATTGTTATTTTTCCAAGGACGACGTAACCATCAGTGATTCCCATTGATCATAAGGAACGTTGTAGCTTTTAAACACCACGTGACCTTCTAGTGGGAAATTTGGTGCCTACTTTCATCCATAGTAAGTTGAACTTTATAAAAACGTTTTCCATAGTGAATAACACAGAACAATGGTTAGCTAGAGTAAAAGGAGGTTAACGACTGTCTTTAAAAATATCTATATTAAAACAAGAAGGTAATAAACACCTTGTGTGCCTGCGTACCACAGATGCAAAAAAAAAACAAAAAAAAACAATCCTCCTTAATGTCTAGTGACTAATAAAATCCCAGTAAATGGCTCAAATAACAACTTTAAATCAATATGACATTTTATACCTTATACGTAAAATGATATACACACATTGTTGTGTTACGATTGTAAATAGATAATTGGGTTCGTTGTATTTTTACATTTTGTCCACCTGTTTTTTTTTTCACAAACTCATTTATATTCAGAGAATTCAGAAATACTTTGTAATATATTTATTAGTTGAATCTCCTGTTATTCTGCGAACCTATCTTATCACTCTTGGAGGAAATTTGTTCTACCTAAGAATACCACATGTTTAATGGTATTACGCTTTTCCTAAAGATAAACCCAACCATTATATACTGAGCCAGGTGATTTTGTGCCTGAGGTTTTGTATAAACACGCATTTCACAAGCGTCGAGTACAAAGAAAGCTGCATACATTAATATCGGATATATTATTTATTCATTGCCACGTAAATTAACTTTCAATGAAAAATAATCAACTTTTTTAAACAAGTCATGGACACTTACAGCGTTTCATATAGTATATCTTTCTATGTTGGTGCAAAATACTCAGCCGATTTTATTGTTGCCTTGTGAAATAAAATTTTGAATAATAATAATACTAAAATACGCACTTACAATTTCAGCGAAGTATGAAAATCAATAGAATAAATAACCACTCACAAGAATAGAGAAATATACTATGGTAATCGTCTACTGTTAGAAAACTCACTGAAATAGTTTCAGAAAACCACGCAGAGACAAAGTACAATAGTGAACTTGAGAAACAATGAAGAACAGCAAACTCCAGAAACGATGAATCCTCAATGTGGCAGTTTCCAATGTTATAAGTTTCACAAACTATTTTCCAACTAATATGCATTAGTAAACCACATGATTTTTTTAATGGCGGAAAATAAAGGATTTAGAGAAATTCATTAGAGCGAAAATAGAAAGGCTCTTGAATCAATTTTAAAACTACTCTATGACATACTCAATACTGCATTCATTACTGTTGTCCAGGTTTCAGTAAAATATTCAGTGGCTTGTAAAACTATAATCATCAGTAATAAAACCGAGAAACTTATAAATATACAAATTGTTTACTCTAATAAAACAAAAGATTTCCAACTAGGATAACAGGACTTAAACGACTTTTCATTTCTGCGATGCTTGAATGGCTTCGAAGAGCATATTTTGATAGCAAAGAAGAACTTAGAAAATTTTAAAGTGTGGAAATATTGACTTTCAAGAATCAACTTAAAAATAGTCCTACAACCTTTGCAGAAGTTTGTTTAGTAGCTGGGTATAGACTTTGGCGCAGTACATCTAACCGTTTGTGCTGTAGGTTTGGTACTTGAGTGGCTTCGAAGAGAAACATGGCCAGTAGCGATGAAAAACTGATAAAATCTCCCCTTCTCTTTCAAGAATCAACATACAAATAGTCCTATGACCTGCACAAGAATTTTTAGGAGGTTTGCCAAGGTTTCAATAGAGTATTCATAGCCGCTTTTTCTGTAGACTTGTGAAACAAGAATAATATGACTAATAATAATATGAAGAACAAATGGGTGAATTTTGGATTTTGTCTAACAATCGGAAAATCAACTTTTTTGCTATTATCAATATTTTAGCAGCCTTGGCCATTGAGATAGAAGGTCTTGAATGTTATTTCAGGAACAAGTCTGCTGTTTAAGATGGTTTTGACTGTATGCTATATTATAATTTTTGTGAAATTCGTGGGCAATCCCTATTAGAAACCACTCTTGTGGTTCATGATTATGTTTGCAAGAAGAGAATTCTCCAACAATAAAATTCCTTGAAGAACTGAAAAATAAAAGAAAGATAACTAAATTTTAAATTTCTAATGAAATTGATAAGAAAACAACGCAAGTATTTAAACACTTAAACGCAAATTCCACATAAAATTGGGTGATTGTATATTTTATGTGAAAATATTAGACATTGGAAATAAATAGCATATAATACTAATAATGAAATAAAAAATTCAGAAGACATACAAATAATGTAAGCTTTGTCTGTAAGGAGAGTTTTGGTACACCATTGCTTTAAAATTTTTATTGAGCAATATTAGTTTTTAAATCTAATATTTTTGTAAAATAATAATTTTTTTTTACAATAATGATTTCAAATGAAATCCGGATTTTACAACAAAAATTTATTTTTCCTGGCCCTCTAGCGGCATGCTGACGTTGTCATCGGCACGCCCGATTCAATAAACCTAAACAATATTAAAGTTAGGGCTAAATTAATGGATGAATGTTCAAACTCGTGATGATTTTGCTATCGTAGAATGTGATATAATTTGACCGATATATTTGCTTAAGGCTAAGCGCAGTTGTAATCTTAAAGTATTTTATTAAAGAAGAAATAACCACCATGAATATTATATGTGCAAGTGATCCCAGTTTTCTAGCCAACAACATGTTAACAGCAGACGATTTCAATCTTGCTAATGCTAGTAATACCGGTAAGATACTATTACTATATTAGTATTAAAATTGTACCATTGTAATTTATATTTAGTTACTCTTAGTCTTAGTTTTACTGTGTATTCAGTACCCTAACTAACGATCTGTATAACAAGCTACCAATAAAGTGTATAAACTTATCAATATAATAACTTTAATATTATACTTATAAAATATAAGATACAATTCCTAGAGGTTTATTAATAATATTTTTATTATAATGATTATCGTGTTATATAGTATTAGATAACATAAGACAGTTAAGTTGTATGTTACACTTTATAGTGCTTAAGTTATAACTTAACATTATTGGTAAGTTCAATATCTTGTTGGGACTTTATAAATAAATTCACGGTTGTATTATATCAGTTTATAAAGATTTCAAGGTAATACTAATCTTGTATTTGGCATTGCTAAAGTTTTTTGTTTTTTTTCCATTTGTGTACATTGATGTTCATAATAAAGATCTACCTTTCAATTGCTAAATCAGCAAATACTTTTCCCATAACAAATTCGTGTACAATTTTATTAAAAAGTCTAGAAACTTGTATGTCACATGACAAACATTTGTTTAAAGAAACATGTCTCATGTACATCAGTGATCTATATTCTTAACAAAAACTTTTTCCAGAATAAATCACGTATAGTTCCTTCAGAAACATTTAAGTTCAATAATTACTAACAACTGATACAATTTTGAGATTCTATATTTAAAAAATACAAAAATACATACATGTAGAACAATGACTAATAATTAAATGCCTATAACTTTAGAACTAGATATTTTGCCTTGACCAAACTCATGCATAGTTTGCTGAAGACATTGGAAGAGTATCACACAACCAACAATAAGTGCAGTCTCCATATTCTCCACAAAAGTAAAATCAAACGTGTCTCATGTGTTAGTGTTCTGTGTTTCAGTGCATGTAACTTTGAAATAAATAGTTTTCCCAGACTAAATTGTATATAATTTCCTCAAGACATACATAAGAATGTATTGTCATATGATATTCATGTTTGTGGTAATATCTTCTGATTCTCTGTTACAAAAAGAAATCATGTGTCTCAAGTAGAATAATGACTGAGGTACCAAGAGAAATGTATGTGTAATTTATATATTGCATATTTCATGGTTCTTTCATCTATGTTTCTCAGGAAAATTATAAATGGACTTACCACTTTATAATACCACTAATATTTGTGAATTGTCAAGTTAGCTGAGAAATATACTTGTTGATTTGTTAAATGTACATGATAAAATACACCAAAAATAATATGTACTGTTACGTTAAAGGTACACTTTAAACTTATTAACACTGTTACCACGATAATGACATATATCGCTATGCTCTATGTATAAAAACAGGTAGCAGTCTATGAAGTGCCAAGTGTAATTTTGCAACTTAAGTTAGATTGACAAATAATAGTAACTTCCAATAAGAGTAAGCCATGTAGTTAGAGCAAAACTCCAACTTGGCAGTCAGTATAGCTAATTAAATATACTTTTCTGACATTTCTGCTCATAATGATTAGAATGCATTGTTTCATTCATTAAGTATGTCAATGATGCTATATCTACAATGTAAATAATCTAAATGATCAATGACTTCTTTCTTACCCATGACATGTTCATTGTTGTTAATAGTGAATTTCTGTAAATATGTTAATATTATGCCTTTATTGATGATGTTTTTAACTTTTTATACTCAGTTTTTAAATAGGATTAAATTTAAATTTTCTTTTTTATTCCATTTGTGTAAAACTTATAACAATTTATAATCTCCCTTTCATTTTAACAAATTGTCAATTTATTTATTAAATCTATTTTCCAAGTAATTACCCCTGACTGTTTTCTTTTTGAAAAAAAAAACAAGAGGTCAACATAATTTTAATATGACAGTTAATCCCCAGAATCATCCTAGTAGATTCCCAGACAAATTGGAAGAAATGTTTGGTCTTCCAGACCAAATTTCTTTTTGGCTTCATTAAGATATTTCAATTGCCTGTTCTATTTAATGAAATATTTTCATGAAATGAAGAAAATGTTATTTTTCTTCTCATAACAAAGAAAAATGGAAGGAATGTTTGGTCTTTTGGATCAATTGACAGATGGCATTTATTTATGATATGCGTAGAGTTATATGTACGAGTTATCACAGTATAAGTCACATTAACATTTTTTCATGAAGTGAAGGAAAAAAATTTTCCTTGTGAGAAACAATTTTTATTGCAGTGCAAAACATAGCTCTTTCATAGATTAGCTCTTTGTCAGTGGTGTCATTCAAATGTAGCATTAATCAACCAACATTTACCAATAAGTTGAGACAAAAGGCTGTAAAGATGTTTTGCTATAGAAAATTTTAGATACAAAAACTTTTTTTTTATCCCTAGTTAAAGCTAGGAAAGAATATTTCTCATGCAGGATTAATTTGTAGGATACCTTTATTGTTAGATAAGTACATACGTGTATGAATATGAAAGGTTACTGCCACCTCGCTTGGTTCTATGGTATGTTTTGAAATGACAGTTGGCTTCATTGACAAAGAACCAGTCTAGCTTTTTCATTTCTAGGTTGGACTGAGCAAATTATAATCTTTTTTTTTTAAAGAAAAATGTATATCCATAATTTGTCAATGGCACATAAACACGAAATCAATATACTTCTTACTCTAGTCAAGATAGTTCATTTATCATACCAATAATTTTGGTTTTAAAACAGCCAACTTTTGTAGAACTAGTGACATTGTGGTTAAATTTTTTTCTTTTTCTATTTTGTCTATTTATTTGCTGGAAGGGAAACATACTTTTTAAAATTAAAATAAAGATGACTTATACAATGAATAATATTTATTTACATAAACATTTCAGATTGTAGTAAATCCATCTTCAGCATGTTATACAGAACAAAAAATGACTAATATAAGGATATATATACACATACATACATAAAATGAATTCCATACTTAATACAAGAACTAGTTGACAAAATACATGTTAAAATGTTAAGCTTATGAAAAAATGAATAGACTGAAAGAAAGAAATTAAGGGGACAGAAGTAGGTAGCAAAGGCAGAGTGAGTTAAAATAATTTTAGTTGTAGGGAGTTCAGACTGTTAAGAACAGGTGATTTTTTTATAGATTAAGATACTTTCTTTGGTGAGAAGTTCAACATCTGATTTACCAGTGACTAAGATTTTAAGTTAATACTGTGATTAGTATCCAGTATGTTATTTTGGATGGTAGAATTACAAGGATATGAAAGTGAAGTACCAGTCTTCAAGAATACTCCCATGTGTTTTTAGGAACATAAGCAAGGTGGCACATAGTCTTGCCAACATAGAAGGCCTTACAGTCACCTCAAGTATAATTATACATAAATCAAGAATGTATAGGTGTCAGAAGGTGGTTTTTCTATTGGAGTAACTGTATTATATGAAAAAAGATCTGAAAATATATCTGTTTATTCTGGCTAATGGCATTTGAAAATTACATATAAAAATTATGAAGCAAATGTACATTTTTTAAATAAGATTTTTTTATTTCTTTTATCTATGTAAGGAAAGTATGAGGCTAAATTTCTGTGATGCATTCCGAATATGAGTTTTAATTTTTTTTTAATATTACAGTGACCTGTTAAACATTATGTGTTGTGTTTTTTAAAGAAATTATGCATTCTTAAGCATAGGTTAGGCAGTGGTTTTAGTAGGAAATGTATTGTGTTCACTGTAGTTTTTATGTTGTTTTACAACATTGCTCATGATGTGAACTCTCTACACTTTCTGTTTTTATGCTACTAAATGCCAATATTTGTTTGAAAAGGCAAAGTATACTTTTTTATATCAATTGTTGCAGAACAATAGTCTAGGATAGCAAAGTTGGTGCAAATTGAAGTTTTTCTTGACTGCAAAAATGGGTGTAAAATTGATACCCATATTAATATGAAGGCATAGATGGAACTCCAGTGTCTTCACCATGATGAAGTCAATGATACCTGTTATGTTACAGATTTTAAAGAAAAAGGTGATCCTGAATTTAAAAGTTTTCAAAGAAATTGCATGAAAACGGAACATGGGGAACAACTTAAAGATGCAAAACATGCACATAACATGAAATACATTTAAACCATTAGTAAGTCAAGAAATGTAAAAATTAACTCCCCAAGTTGTAACAAAATAATTGCAGGAAATAGTAATATTAATTACATTTAACTGTCAAAACAATTTTATTCACTAATAAAAGATTGGTGGCTGGGTTTAGATATCTTAAGTAATAATGAATCATGAATGTAGGCTAATTTAAGTAGTGTTTTTATTTAATTTCACTTTTACTTACTCATAAATTTATATATTTATAATGAATAAATTTTAGTTGCAATAATATTAAAAATATATGCAAAAACTTTCATGAATTCACCTTGCGATGTCTTAGTAAAAAGTTTCAAGGTAGATTTAGTTTGTGTAATTTTGTTTTGTTACATTATGGCAAGATATTAACACTAACAATTCACAAACAAGAACAATGTAATAACTTTATTATGGATAAAGAAAACAGTTTGTTTCTGAAAACCAACAGTAAAATCTTTTACAGCTTTCATAATAAGGAGAATTTGTTTTTAAAACATTTAAGACATTTCGATCACTGGTAGGGTATAATCATTCTCAAGTACACAAGTTTTAACAGTAAAGAAGTGATTGAAACGTCATATCTATTCTAAAAACAAATTTTTCCTTATTTTAAAAGCTGGAACTTGTAATCAAATAATTATCTTTTATGTCCCATTTATCTTTAACAAAAACATGGGCATGTTTTTTGCAAATATAATCTTATAGTTTAATGTTTTAAATTAGCTAACCCAGGATTACTTTTTTGCCACAAAGTACATTTTATCATCAGATTCCAAAATTTTATCAGAAATGGTGATAATTGATGATCACCAGCATGAATGAGCTCCTTGAAAGCTTTACAAATGTACTGCATTGAAGTAGTAAGCCTTTTTAAAG